ATTGCTTAAGCTGTGCGAGTATGATAGCTTAAGGACAATCGTAGTTCTTTGGCCAAGGTTGCTTTTAACATTGTCACGAGAGTCTTACGCATCGATGCGTCTTGCGATCGATACGCGTTGGATACTAGTTTATATCGAAGATGGACGCTGTTTGAAGCTGCCCACGAGTTTGCGTTTTGTTAGTCATATCGTCGAGGTTTCTGTGTCGCGTGTTGCATGGCATAAATTATGAGGCTGCTCGCTGCTCTCAAGTTATAGTTAGAAGAAGCTTATTTCGATTATTTCACGCGTTGATTTTGATGCAAATTTTAGGCAATGCGTGTAATTTCTCTTTCTTCTTAAGAATTATTTATCTCCAAATATGTTTGACGCAATCCACAAGCTCGCCCATTTTTTTTTAGTTATTTGTAACTTAGAAACTGACTTGAAATTCGAGACGTTAATGTAATGGAAATTTTATGTAGCAGCCTTCTTCGTTCATTCTTCTCGATTGATAATGGAAGAAGATTGATAATAGATATCATCCAATCATCATTTCTTTATTTAAATATGCTTATTCTAAATTCTCCTTTCCTATTGTATCCACACTTTGTATAAACAATCCTGTAGATTCACAAAAAAAAAAATTTCAGAAAAAGAAAATAATCCTCTCGAAGTTTCTACAGTGTTTGCAGAAGACTTCGTTGAAAAAGAGGAATGCATCGAGTTTGAAACAATGGTGTTTCTGTTGTTCGAGGGTCAACGGACATAGCAAGACAAGATACGCAAGTCTTTGACCGGGATGACACGCAGAAATGCCATGCTTCATCTTGATGCCTGGTAAAACCTTAATTGCATTGCAGATTTTAATTACATAATGTTAAGCTGTTCGTACTCTGTTATTTTAACGGAATATCCCTGGGAGGATAAGTGAACCGAATGGTGGAATAATGCATAGTTTCAGATTGACGCGATCGTGGAAAGGCAATGTAAAGTCACACTAATTTCACATCCTGTCGCGTGTTAATTCGCATACACTTCGTGATGAATTAATTTTTAGTAGAAACTAGTTGCATGGATCTTTATCGGCGAATTACAGCGAATAAATACACATTTATCTTGACGTTTATCGGTCGTAATTCAAGAATCATATTAATAAGAATGAGTTATAGCATGGGATTAGAGATGCTTGTCGAATTGCAGATTATTAAATTAGGATTATTAAATTATTTTGTAACCATGATTTTAAATACTTGTTGATTTTGAAATGTATCAATTTATAATATATACGATTAAGAAGAACAATTAAAATTCATAATAAAAGAAAGGATTAAAAGGTGAAGAAATGAAATAAAAATTGAAACTTTAATAACTTCATGATATTGTTCTCCTAACGTGTAAGGATGCATAAATATTCGTCTTCTTGCAACAAATCTCGCACACCAATGTTCTTACTCTTTGAATGCGTTCATATTTCAAAATCCTTGCAATAGCAGTTCACAAGAGTCAATGTGGTCACGGGATAGACGAAGGTTTCAAAGTTGCAAGGTAAGGCGTGTCGAGACTAGTGATGGGATCGAGTACCATATATACTCATAAATCTGGATCAAATTCGATGAAAGAATATTATAGAGAGAAGTAATACTATTCAAGAAGATGAACATAATCATTCGTTATACAACAATTCAATCACGAGAATTATAATAATTACTGTCAGAAATAACGAAGAAAATTGACGTTTCTAGTAAAATTTCGAATTTATTCGACCAATGCTCGATTCTATTCATATTTTTTTTATAGTCTCACTCTATGATTCAATTTTGAAAAGATACTTATGAATTGAAACCTGTTGCGACTCGGTCCCATCGCTAAATCGAATAGAAAAGGAAAGAGACGCTTCGAGACAGAAGAAAGCCGAAGAATGGCGGATCATCATCTTCACGCGAGCGAGGCGAACTTATGTAACGCTTTCATACAAGACAAGGCCAAGGTTCTCGCGATGCAGCAGAGGTTGAGCATGTACTGTGTGGTCCCTCCGTTTCATATTGTTTTATGGCAACAGTCGGCGACGCATCTAATTACATCTATCGAAAGAAACGTGGAGAATCTTGTTCCCTGGACCACCAAGATGGTGGAATTTCGAGTAAGGAGGTTGTTGTAACGCGTAACAGGACAATGCTCGATTGTATAATTTTAAAGGGCCATTCCGTGGGGATGAGGAACGCGACGTGTGTCGCGTAATTATTTCTCTCCCTATTGAAAAATTTAAAAAGCTTCTCCTTACGAGGATTGTTTGACATGGACTCGAAGGTTTAGAAGGATTGTTTGCGGAGATTTCAGATTCTCTATTGTAGTTTGAAGTAGTTTTAGCTATGCTTTATTTATACAATGACTCGTTAATTTTTTGAACGTAGCGATGTGTGAGAGATTATTTATTTATTCTGCGTGTATGAGATTTCTTTATTATTGAATCGATCATTTTTTAATATATCGAGACAGTTGATAGAAAAATAAATTTTATTTTAATTAATAGTGGAAAAAATTACATAAATTATATTATTTACGAATATTGTACACGAGAGATAATATATCAAATACAATACAAAAGCTTATTATAGTGAGTGTAAATTATTATGCAATAAATAAATACATTTTTTATTTCTATTAAATATGAAGATATATTAAAAAACAATCAATAATTAAAAAAATAATCAATAATTATTATAAACAAATATATAAAGCAATAATCTCTCATACATTGTGATATCTGAATTTTAATGAGATTCATTGTTCAAAATAGTTTATACTCCTCATATTAAAATACTCCAAATATAATATCAGAATCTAAAAATCAACGTTAATCAAATTATCATATTTCCTTCGCGTAATCTTGAAATTAAAACACATTGTAACAATTTACATTCAACGCATAAACTTCGCGAATTACGATCTTGAGGAACGATTAAATTTATATTTTACGTGCAACTCTTCTACATATAATACCACCAAAAAAAAATTATTATTTTCAGTCAACGTAAATTGCTGCACAATTATCATCCATAAATACGATCCTTATTTTCAGATTTTAGAAAAAAATAAAAGTTTCTAAATTTACCCTATTGTTCTTTGTTCTCCAATGTTAAATATTCTCTACGAGGCGTACAACTGACATTGAAAGCATTCCTTCTCGTTAAGTCTATCAGCTCGAATCTTATCTTTCGAGAAGAAGGTTTTCTTCCGTTTTCTCACTTTCGTTGCTCTCCATCGCTGGAAAGCACACACATCTTTTGTTTTGTTTCGTTGGTTAATAACGGGAAACGTTGGAACGTGGTACAGGTATCGAGAAATTTTTAACGAGTTTCATGGAACTTGGGTGAGAACGGTTTTTACTCCGTTATTTTTTGTCGCTCTTCTTGTCATTTGGTATTCGCGGTCGCTGCATGTGGGTCATTCCATGCTAAATCGATTACTTTTGTACTGAACGTTCTGATTTTTATTTCAAATTTTTTAGCAATTATTTTTTTATTAATGCATAGAACATATATATATTTGTAAGTTATTATTTTCTAAATTGAATAATTAATTTTTTTGTGTTTTTAAAAGAAATAATAATTCCATGTTATAAGTGAGATAAAATTTCATAAATGAAAAATTAAGAAATTTTTAAATTCATGCGATTGAACGTAAATACGATAATATCGTGGATAATTATCCTTCGAATAATTCGAATAATTCGACAACTTCGAATAATTTAGATTTAAAATGCAGTGTTAATCGATATGAAAAAGAGTTACCTATGCAAAAAAAAAAAAAAGAAAAATAAAAGATTAATTTCTGTCATATAACAAAAAAAAAAAAAAGAATACAAAATACAAAATATAAAAACTCTTTATTTTTCGAATAATTAATAAAAAATTTTATCTAATTAACTAACACAAAAAATGTGTTACTAATTGCATAAAAATAATTCTTTTTACGTAATACACATATATATTTAAAGACATTATGTGATCATAAAACAATCATCGTCGATGAAAAAATATTTTTTCCGTTGCCTTCCTATTACGTTTTCGAATAATATTTCCATTTTTTATCATTTCCATTATATTTTTCGAATTATAACGATTGTCTTCTACATCCGTGTTTACATAATTATTCATCGGAAAAAATATTTCTGTTACTCCATCCGGAAAATGGATTGGCTATCGAATATTACAGGTGTAATATCTTATTTGGTGGTTTTAATTTTCCTTTCTCGATTATTCGAACTTAATAACAAATTAAACAATCAAATATTGAATTATTCATCAAATTTTACTCGTGCTACGCACGATGCCCATGAAACGGATTTTCTCTTAATAGATGCAGTCTCGTTCCTTCTTCGTAAATCTAATGCGTTCATCGCGAAGCACGTCAGAACTATTTCCGGTACGAATCATAACGGAGCCGAAGTGTAGGCATTCGAATATCCGGAGAGGAAACTAATAATTGCGATAATGTTTGTGCGTTTATCATATTTTAGTCTCTTTGGTAGAATTTTGAATTTTAATAACTCCAAATTCTAATATTTAATCTTTTTTTCTTATTTTTTTAATTAATACTTTGACACTTGTTTCTATTTCATGTAAGAATTTCTGGGCATTATGTTATTCATTTTTTCGAATATTTATGCGTGTCTAAAATTAAAGATATAGGAAATTTTTTTTTAATATTATTTTTCTTCATCAAATCAAATTTTTTTAATATTATTTTTCGTATAAAAAAATATGAATTATTAAAAGGAAATTTTTTTTCATTATTATATATAATTTCGATTCTTTCGTTTCACCCTAATCGACAATCTTCTCGATCAAAGAATTTAATCATTTGACTTCGATCGTTCCAATCTTTTCCACGTGTTCAACACGTTAATTATTATTAATACATAATTAAATTTTGAACAATTGTACGGATTTGTAAATGCAAGCATTACAACAACACCCTAATAAATTTACATGGTACTTTCCAATTTTATCACTCACCTGATAAGGATAAGCGGCCGGCCTGTAGTAACTGCCGGTGTTTATAGCCGGGTAACTCTTGCTGCTTCCACACATAGAAGCCATCTTTCATCGATTCCTCTTCTCCTTCACCACCACGATTTCTTGCTCCTCTTTTTTTCGCTCACGTTCGTCTTCCAGACAATGGGATCGTATCGACGCTGTCTCAAACGTTTCGAGACGTGTTCATTGTTGAGCTTTACAGTTCCTTTTTTCCCCTCCGTTTCCGCTCGAAAACGATTACACACCGATTGTTTCAGAAATAGACACGACGAAATATATTTCGTCTGAGACGACACGCCTTCACTCGGGTTCGAGATCCTTTCTATCTACCATAGACCTACGATATTTTCACCATCAAGGTATTCAAGGTTACGGTGAGCACGATTTTTTTCACTGTCCAGAACGGTCCCGTTAAGCACAGTTCCCAATAAATATTCATACGAAATTCTTCTTTCTCCCCCTTTTTATTCCCTTTCTATCTCTCGGATAGAGAGCAACCCATAAAAAGCAAGTTCATACTTTTCGTACCGATTTCAAATGAACTGGAATCATTTTTAATCTTATTTTCATACGTTTCAAACTTCACTTTATCTTAAAATATTCCGATATTACTTGATATTCAAACTTCTCTTATTCCTCGAACGACACTTTTCGATTCCTCTTTACATTCGACAATCGATCGATTAAACAATAATTTCCCATTCAAGATTATTTAACTATCTATAATCGAAATCAAACAATTTTCAAATTTCAATCCGAAAAACCACCAATTTTCTGATTATTTTATACGAATGTTATCAACCGTATAATGTTCATCGATCGTATACGATAAAAAGAGTGATAAGAGTCGTATGTAGAAACTGATGGATAGCGGTTTCTGTGAGAGAGAATCGAGAGACGAGGCAGAAAGCACGCGGCACCACGTCCTTTCTCCGAGACGGTTGACCACCGACTGACAGTAGGGGATCTTCACGCACCGCCGTTCTTCATCTTCATCCTTGCCGTTCGTGCGCTTATTCGACTGCTTCTTTAAACTGAGAGGGGTCAGCTTTGTCGGTTAAGCTTGCCTTCACGCTGCCTTCACTTTTTGGCGGGTTCTCGTGGGAACCAAACTCGGCTACCACTTTTCTTCCCTTAATTTTCATCGCTGCCTCTACCCATTCCTCTTCCTCCTCCTCCTCCTCCTCCTCCTTCTCCTCTTCTTCTTCTTGGAAGGTTCTTTTCTTCGTTTCCTTCTCTTTATTCCTCTCCTTTCTTCGTTCCATCTTCGTTAGTTCCCTCGCGGTTCGAGAGTCTGGCGGGTTCGTGCCTCACGGTCTGCGTGGCAATTTGTTCCGATTTCTTTGCCATGTTTGCGACGAGAATCGACCGATTATCCGCGAAAAAGTAGTAAGAGATTCCGTGATAGTGTTTAGTTCGACGTCCCGTGTAATGAGAAAATAGCGTCTCGATGTCGATGTTCGTTCCACTGGTTACGCGAAGACTTCGATATATATATATATATATATATGCAGTATATGCGTAGAGATCGGTGATTTCAATGCGCGCACGTGACGTGTCTCTCGAGCGTTGAAATTCCTGGCTACGTTGAAGAGGCTTGAACGTTACGGATATTTGGTTTGCGACGAGTAAATTGTGGATATTTATTTGAATGATAAAAAATCTGCACACGACGTGCAAGAAAGTATGAAATATTTAAATATCCATGGATTATTATGCTCGAGGAATGAAGCAAATGTTTATGAAATATTTATCGAAAATTTAAATTTATATTCTATTTAAATCCGCGGATTAAGTGAAAAAATCAAAATTTCACGATTATTTTTTAAATAGTGAACAAATTTTGCTTCAATTCATATTATTTATCATTATTATTATCCTTTTAAATCCTTTTTTAATTTTTCATTTCAATTTAATTTATAAAAAAAATATCTTATTAAAATTCTTCGTTTGTTAAACCAAATAACTCTTTTAAAATTTAAGCTTCAAGTGACCCCAATCCCTCTAATTCTAATCTACATATTCTGCTCTAATTGCAATTATCGTTTGATATCAGATCGCTGATCGTATATACATATAATATACATATAATAGAACTGGATTACGCCATACAATAATAATCGGTGCTACTGGTTGATTAATAAAATTCAAAGGAGGCAAGTAACAGTACCTGGATAACTACCACTATTCGTGGATCTCCCGGTCCAGGATCTCGTTCATTGTATTCAACAACGATCGAAACAGTAGGTTACTATAATTTCTCTACCGTTTGCTGCAAAATTCTTCGCATTATAAACGTCGAGTAACGTTACTCGAAACGCAAGTTAATGATACTCGTTATTCGACCCTTAATGAAACGTGCCGTCGTTTCGACTATGTGATATCGTTAACGGTAAAAAATTTTCCACTCGCGAAATTTCTCACGCTGGACATCAAGAGTACGTTGCCCTCCTTACGTTAGTTAGAATCTTTTATGCATTTCGATAAAAGAAAAGTAAAAAAAGGGTTAAATCCCTTTAACGCTGCCATCTCCGGAAAAATTAATCCCCGAGACCGAGATAAATCAGAGAGTAAAAATGTTATCGTCGCTCTGATTTATTACGTTACCAAGGGAGCTCGTGATAAATTACGAATAATTTGACAATGATTATACCCGTATCGTGATTACATTCGCTTTTGGAATCGATTTGATCGAGCTATAAAAAGTGCATATTAATTATCGTAATATCGATTGAATAAATATTGTAAATCGATATTGTGCAAATATATCAATAATCTCTGAACGAATATATACGATTCTCGATAAAAAATTCATTTAGAATATAATTTTCATTGAATCATCTTCAATTGTGTACACGTGATAGATACAAACGTTGAAGAATTGTAAACTAATTAAGATACAATTAATGTTTGGAAAATGTTTGGAAACATTGGCTCTAAATATTTTCTTATCTATACGTATACGTATAAGAAAACAAAATAGATTGGAAACGGATTTAAACGGAAGCCTAATTCGAATGTAAACATTAGAACATATTATGATGGAAAAAATGTCGAGAGATCGGTGAATCGTGGCTTCATTCGCGAGTTGACTTTCCCACAGGGAGGAAGGCGATCACGAGGCGTGTAACGCTCGTTCTTCGATACCGGTGCGTGCCAGATTTAGAACGTTTACGTGTACACGGTGATTAAGATCGTTACCGCGAAGATTGTCGAGCATTTTACCACGGATCTGCATAGACCTTGTTCGCGAATCGAGCTGTGAGTCAACTGTGTGTGCATTCGGACCAAGGTAATTTATCTTTCTCTTGTTTACGATCTATCTGGTTTTATTGTTTCGTTACGTGATGTAATTTGTCGTTTGAGGATGATAGAGATACTTTTTGTTCGAGAATTGTCGAATATTATGTTCTTTTTTTAAATATTTGCTCGATGAGTGATTCTTTTTATTCTTCAATTTTTTTTATATACTTTTGGGGAGGAAGGGAGGTATTTTTATTATTTACGTCAAAAGACTTTGATTTGTTTCAAATTGAGAAAGAAATAACTTTCAAATATAGATTATTTGGCCATTCTTTTATTCCAAATTCGACAGAAGAAATAATTATTATAATAATTACAAACAAATTTGTTATATTGTACAAATTAAAATAGTTTAGTATCTATTTACTTTTTTATTTTCATTTCTTATTTAGAATATAATATTAATCAAAAAATATTTGTAAAATCTTTATGACTACATAATTTATTACTAGAATTCTTTATTATTTTTGTCTCGACTCGATCCTATAATATTCTTATTTTACTTTTCATTCCATCCTATAAATTATTTTCTACATCTTCTCACCCCAGCATCATTATTATTCGCATAATGATCGTCCAATTAACAGCAAGGCGTATTTCGTTAAAGGATTCCCTTAAATATTTCCTCAAATATTTTCACATAAAAAAGCGAGCAAATATATATTACGACTACTTATGCGTATCACGTGTTTCCTCGTGAGCCAGTGTTTCCCAGACCTTGGTCGCTTAACCTTCGATTTCTAAATAGCGTTGTGAAATTTCTTTTGCAGCGTAAATTATGCATACGATACGCGTTTAAACCAGAATAAAAGCGTAACGTGATCGGTGACTCGCGCTTTCGATACTGAATGAAAATATTACACGTGCACGCGATATCATGATGCGTGTTGTTACGGCCATAAAGTGATGGAACGTGATGTTACGCGATACGAAAGAGAAAACGTTAATTATTCTCGATAATTTGTTCTCGAGAGCAAAAGTTTTTGTCTAGAATTTTCTCGGGAAAGCTGTAAAATTCACCTCACAGCTTTTACTTCACGATTCTTTCTTCTACTCAAATTTACTGTTCCTTTAATTTTCTGAAAAAATCTTTCTAGACAAATTATATTATCATCGTTGTTATATACGTTGCGTTTCAATCTTTCACGCGAAATTTCTTCTCCCCCTTATCTTACCTTTAGCTCAAGGCTAACGGTACAACAATGAACCTCTCTCATAAATCCTACAAGATCGTTCTTAGCTATTAGTTTCATTCTTGTCGGATAAAGAGAGAGAAAGAGAGAGAGAGAGAGAGAGAGAGAGAACATTGCTTATACTAGAAAGGAAGATGGTAGCAAAAAGGAAGCCCCCCCTAACTTGATGGCGCGTGTGCGTGTCGTCGTTAGGAAATAATTATTGCTACATCCTAAAAAGATTCGCGATAACGAGCTTGATACATTCAGCCTCTGATTATTTCGTTGAATTGCATTTACGTGAAGATGGAATCGAGGTGTGCGCAAAAAAATATGGCAGCGCGGAGGATGATTTTTAATGGATATTAAATGCTTGCAAAAATTTTGCAAGTATCTACTTTTTCATAGTTATTCGTATTTTATTATAAATTATGAATTCACTCTGTTCAAATATCGTTATGCTGATTACCGATACTTTGAACAACGATTGATAATCGTGTGTTTCGATTAAGTGTCAGTTTTTCGCTTCCTCGATTCATGAATGCTTCGATCTTTCTTGTTCTCTGATCGAGGAAATTTTCATCTCGTCTTTTTCGTTACGATTCCATTCAATACGCGTGTATGAAGTATTAATAGGCTCGCGAGGAAAGCAAGAAAAAGAAAAGAAAAAAACAATTTATATTAAGAGTTCCATACATTTTTACAAATTACTGATCTTCCCTCATTTTTTTTTCTCAAATCTTCGAGTATATTTTATTTTCTCACGAGTTCACCAATATCATCCCACCTATTTTAATCACTCTCGTTCTCCCCATTTACCTTTACATTAAACAAAATTAAAAAAAAGGAAGGTGCAGTCATTAGAAGATACACAGCTCCATCCCTCCATTCCTCGTATTCACCACGTATATACCTCGTCCATTGTTTTACAGTAACGAAAGGAGGCGCACACGTTGCGGGTTAAATAACAACGAAATACCTCGGGCCGCGTATCCTAAGGGAACAAAAGTGGGGCCCGGTGGGCATTATGGCGGGAAAAACGGGTCAGAATGCCAGACGGAATTCGAGCGGGCGCGTTCCGTCGTACCGAGAGTCGGCACGCTTAGAACTTAGTAAATAAACGAGAAACACGGTGTATATAATTGGGAAGGAAGACGGAAAGGTGGAGGAGACGAGGGTAAGAACGCGCGGCGGACGTCGTGTGCGTGGATAGGGGTCGGTAGAAAAACGATGGACGCGTAAAGAGGGGAAAAATGATTTCGCCTTGGTAAAAAGGATTTCGGAACGAAACCGAGAGGCGGTAATTACGGGTGAATGATCACTGACTTTCGAAGATGAAACGGAAGGGAATTAGGGTATTTGTTACCGATTATTGCGCTTACTTTTTTTTTTTTTTCGTGAATGACGTGAGTTGCAAATGAAATCGAAGACGATCGATTTTTTTAAATAAATTTTAATCGATTATTTATTTATTTCGGATTAATCCAAATATGTATTATATTTTTATAATTATATAGGTATGCTAAATAATATACGAAAGAATTTCTTATTATTAGAAATTGAAAGAATTGTGTTTTATCGTAGGATAATTTTTAAATTCCATGAAAAATAATTGAAGGAATAGTATCAAAGATTATCACGATTCAATCTCGTTTAATTTTTACTTTCTTTCAAATCTTAGATAGAAAGTACGA